CCAAGAACTCAGTAGCCCAGCAACCCAAGAACAACTTAACCCAATTACAACCATGAATCCCAGCAGCAGAAATAGAACTCAACTGTCAAGGAACCTTCCAGCCCACCAGCCCAACAGCCCAACAGCCAAACAGCAAAAAGCAACAGCAGCCCAACAACCCAGTAGCCCAACAACCCAGTAGCCCAACAACCCAAGAACAGCTAAACCCAACCGCAAACCTTGCTCCCAGCAGCACTAGTAGAATCGAACAGTTAAACCACCCTGGCAGCCCAACAGCCCAGTAGCCCAACAACCCAGTGGCCCAACAACAAGGATCTGGGCACTTCCCGCAGAACTGGAACCAGCAGGGTTACAACCCCCCAAGAGAACAACCCAGAAAGAGCCAAACAGCGTCAGCAAACAATACCCACGAACCTAACCAACAGCACCGCAGTAGCAACAAACCCAACAGCCAAACCAAGAACCCAAACCAACAGCCAACAGCAACAGCCCATAACAGCCAAGCTGCCCAACACCACAAAGCTCCCCAGTCCGCCCCACGCAGCACACAGCCCTTAAACCTTAAACCCTAAACCCAGGCAAAAGCCTACAGGCCAGACCTAACAGCCAAACGACTCTGACAGCCCACCACCCAAACAGCTCATCCCAACAGCCCGGCAGCTTAAAAACCCTGCCCAACAGCCATTAGTCAGCAGCCCACCAGGAGCCCAACCAACAGCCCAACAGCCAGCAGCCCAACAGCACCAGCTCCCCGATCAGCCCCACAAGCCCCAAACCAGGGCCCTAAACCCAGCAAGCCTAACAGGCAGACCTAACAGTCAAGGCCCAACAGCCAGCCCAACAGCTTAAAAACCCTGCCCAACAGCCATTAGCCCACAGCCAAAAGCACCAACAGCCCAAGAACTCAGTAGCCCAGCAACCCAAGAACAACTTAACCCAATTACAAACATGAATCCCAGCAGCAGAAATAGAACTCAACTGTCAAGGAACCTTCCAGCCCACCAGCCCAACAGCCCAACAGCCAAACAGCAAAAAGCAACAGCAGCCCAACAACCCAGTAGCCCAACAACCCAAGAACAGCTTAACCCAACCGCAAACAGTAGAATCTAACAGTCAAACAACCCTGACAGCCCAACAGCCCAGTAGCCCAACAACCCAGTGGCCCAACAACCCAAGACTTATTCCCAGCACCCAGCAGTCAAACCCCACCAAGTCGAACAACCCTGAAAGAGCCAAACAGGTCAGCAAAACAATACCAAAGAACCCAACCAACAGCCCAGCAGCGCAACAACCCAACAGCAAAACCAAGAACCCAACCAACAGCCCAACAGCCAGCAGCCCAACACCACCAGCTCCCCGGTCAGCCCCAGCAGCACAAGCCCTAAACCCTAAACCCTAAACCCAGCAAGCCTAACAGGCAGACCTAACAGCCAAACGACTCTGACAGCCCACCAGCCCAACAGCTCATCCCAACAGCCCGGCAGCTTAAAAACCCTGCCCAACAGCCATTAGTCAGCAGCCCACCAGGAACCCAACCAACAGCCCAATAGCCAGCAGCCCAACCAGCACCAGCTCCCCGGTCAGCCCCACAAGCCCCGGGCCCTAAACCCAGCAAGCCTAACAGGCAGACCTAACAGTCAAGGCCCAACAGCCCAACCCAACAGCCTAACAGCTTAAAAACCCTGCCCAACATGAGTTTAAGCAAAAACATGCAAATCATGCAGGTGTAAAACACATTTATGTAACAAATAATGTCCCCCCTGCACGTGGCATTCTTTGATGACCATGTGTTGGCAAGCCAGCCAAATTTCATCTGGAAGCCCTGGTTTGGTCTTGGGATTTGGGATTTGGGACCCCCAGGACACTGCCTCCCCACATGGTTTTCATGTGGTTTCCACATGGTTTGCACATGGTTTGCACATGTCCCCCACATGGTTTTCATTTGGTTTGCACATGGTTTGCACATGTCTCCATGGTTTTCATGTGGTTTCCACATGTCACCCACATGGTTTTCATGTGGTTTCCAAATAATTTGCACATGGTTTGCACATGGTTTGCACATGTCCCCCACATGGTTTTCATGTGGTGTCCACATGGTTTCCATCCCATCCATCCAATCCATCCCATCCATTGCATCCATCCATCCATCCCAGGACATTAATTGGTACATGAACTAAGCAAATACTGGCAGGATTTACATGAGTTTAAGCAAAAACATGCAAATCATGCAGGTGACAAACACATTTATGTAACAAATAATGTCCCCCCTGCAAGTGGCATTCTTTGATGACCATGTGTTGGCAAGCCAGCCAACTTTCATCTGGAAGCCCTGGTTTGGTCTTGGGATTTGGGATTTGGGACCACCAGGACACTGCCTCCCCACATGGTTTTCATGTGGTTTCCACATGGCCCCCACATGGTTTTCATGTGGTTCCCACATGGTTTGCACATGGTTTGCACATGGTTTGCACAAGGTTTGCACATGGTTTTCATGTGGTTTCCACATGGCCCCCACATGGTTTTCATGTGGTTCCCACATGGTTTGCACATGGTTTGCACATGGTTTGCACATGGTTTGCACATGGTTAGCACATGGTTTGCACATGGTTTGCACATGGTTTGCACATGGTTTGCACATGGTTTGCACATGTCCCCCACATGGTTTTCATGTGGTTTCCGCATGGGCCCCACATGGTTTTCATGGGGTTTCCACATGGTTTCCATGCCATGATGATGATTATGATGATGATGATGGTCATGATGATCATGGTGATCATGATGATGATCATGATGATGATGATGATCATGATGATGATAAGGATCATGATGATGATGATGATGATCATGATGATGATGATGATGATCATGATGATCATGATGATTCGGGTTTAGGGTTTGGGGTTTAGGGTTTAGGGTTTAAGGTTTAGATCATGATGATCATGATGATGATGATGATCATGATGAACATGGTGATGATGATGATTATGATGATCATCATGATGATCATGATGATGATGATCATCATGATGATGATGGTCATGATGATCATGGTGATCATGATGATGAGCGTGATGATGATGATGATCATGATGATGATGATGATGATCATGCTGATGATGACCATGATGATGAGGATGATCATGATGATGATGATGATGATCATGATGATCATGGTGATGATCATGCTGATGATGATGATGATCATGATGATCATGACGATGATGATCATCATGATGATCATGATGATGTTGTTGATCATAATGATCGTGATCATGATGATGATGATCATGATGATCATGATGACCATGATGATCATGATGATCATGATTATCAGGTTGATGATGGTGATGATGATGATGATCATGATGATCATGATGATCATGATGATGGTGATCATCATGAGGATGATGATGATGATCATGATGTTGATGATGATCATGATGATCATGATGATCATCATGATCATGATGATGATCATCATGATGATCATGATGGTGCATGATGATCATGATGATCATGATGGTGCATGATGATCATGGTGATCATGATGTTTATAACACAGGCTAAGCTTCTTTGTGCGCGACACACCGCATCACATGCTTGTTGGGCTATGGCCCAAAAAAATTGCAAACATTGTCCAGTACGGTGTACGGCCTGAAACCTCAAAACTTGAGCCAAAGGTAAACCTGTGAACCGATGGCATATAAATGGACCTTTACATTCGCAACTGAAGCTGACATGATGCAAAACGCTCTGTTTTTCACGCACAGCGGAGACAGGGGGCTGTTTCAATCTAAGTCTGATTGTGCCTTACATAAGGCAAGCATCCACATGATGCCTCTCAGCATAGGCATTCCCCCAGGGTTTGGGCGGGCGGGTTAAAAAGAAATGGGGACATGCTCTCGAATTTTTGAGAGTTCCCACCCACCCACCTCGAGCCTGAGTAGCAAAGGAGAGAGACATTGACAAATGCATAAAATTTAGTGATGTGCAAAAGAAGCTCGACATGTGCATAACATGTCTATACGCCTTATGCTATAAAACGTTATGAGGCAGGGCCTCAGAACTAGCTTATAACACAGGCTAAGCTTCTTTGTGCGCGACACACCGCATCACATGCTTGTTGGGCTATGGCCCAAAAAATGGCAAACATTGTCCAGTACGGTGTACGGCCTGAAACCTCAAAACTTGAGCCAAAGGTAAACCTGTGAACCGATGGCATATAAATGGACCTTTACATTCGCAACTGAAGCTGACATGATGCAAAACGCTCTGTTTTTCACGCACAGCGGAGACAGGGGGCTGTTTCAATCTAAGTCTGATTGTGCCTTACATAAGGCAAGCATCCACATGATGCCTCTCAGCATAGGCATTCCCCCAATCTCAACTCATTGCTTAGAGGCATCATATATCCTGCGTAAATGGGCATTTCATAGCATCTCGAGTGAAACCAAAGCTTGCGCTCAACTGAGCCCAAGACCCTCGGGACGGACCGTCACTAATGTTGCTTTGCGAGGGCACACGCGTGAACCAACTCACACATGGGCTTTTGGAGTCATAATCTTCCAATAGTACCAAAAGTTCTCGCCAGGTCTTTTCTCGCGAGTTTCCAGATATACATGCGCCAACCACTCCAGCATGGTCGATAAAGAAGACAGTCCTCTCGTTGTCAATCCATGCACTCCAGTGGCCTCGAGCTAAAACGACAGTGTAGAGCTCGACCTGCCCAGTTAAATGCTTCCGGCCATTTGTCAACCACCTGTCCAGGGTAGTCTGGCCAAGTCTGCATCCAAAAGCACGTACCAAGAATTCATTACCATTTGGGGTGAAAATCACCCCTCCCACTGTAGCAACCATTCCGTCTCCAGACGGCTCAAAAGCACCGTCAGTGAAAACCAAAACCGGACTCTGTGGCGCTGACACAGCAATGGTCCGAGGCCTTCCAGACAGCATCCTCTGCCGTAGCATCTTGAATGCTTCTACCTCAGTTTCGTCAAGAACTACCTCTCTGGCCTGGCGTCTCTCAAGGTTGCGAATATCTGCCAGCGCAAGACGCCCTTGACGTCCCAAAATCTGTGCCTCAGCAAACTGTACTCTCCCAAAGACTGAAGGTAATTCCCGTGGTCTGACACGTCCAGAAAGTAGGATGTCATCCAACGCTTCCACCATCTTCAAAGTTCTGTCCTTCTTGTTCCACACCTCGACCTCTTTTCCATCGGGGTCAGATGCGTCAAGGCACACTCCAAGCAATTCTGCACTTCCCGAAAAAGGGAGGTCCTTGTCTCTTGCGCGCCATATACCCAACATGTCTAGAGCAGCGGCCACCGTCCGTTCAGTGTTCTGGCTCAAAGCACTCAACTCGACAACAGGGTAATCATCGAAATAGTTGAGACTGACCACATTCAACGCCACCAGAATCCTTTGCGTCAATCTTGCAAACCTGTTGAAGCATATCACTGAACTGGTAGCTCCGAAAGGAAGAGTGTTGCATACAAAACCATAGACCTCGCGCGTGCCCGGCTTTCGCAGGGAAACAACGGCCTTGCTCCTGTCTATTTCGGACAAGCCCAGCTGTTTGTAGGCCGAGGCCAGGTCCACGGTCTTGATCTTCACATCTGCTGCACCAGTCTTTCTCCTCCAGAAGGTGCGCACCTTGCCCCTGATCTTGGTTCCATCCGACAGCTCAAAGTCAACCGCCCCTGTGGCCAGAGTTGAACGAAGGAAAGCAGCGCACACCCAAACGGTCTCATCCAGCGCTCTCAGATCGATCTTCTCCACAACGCTGTAGCAACTGTTGACTCCGTTGTCACTGAAGTCGTCAATTGGTCTCCACTTATTTCGCTGCCATACTCCAAAACGTTTGCACGGAAGCCACCGATGCCCAAACTTGTTCCCAAGTTCTGCCCAGTTGTATGGTCCATCCAGCCAGCCTTTGGTGTGGCACTCTTCCATGGTGATGTCCCATATAGCAGATTCATGCTCCTGGTCCGCCGAGCATCTTATCCTTTCCCACAGCGCGCATCTCATTGTAGGCATCTTACTGTTCAGTTCATCCTCTGTCATCGACGCTGGAACGGTTGTCTTTGCAAAAATCCCAGACACCTCGGGGTGGCCTACAAGCCGGAAACCTTGTCGGAGGTGTTCATGAATTTTTTCATCTGGCCAATTCAAGGAATTTGCAATCCTCTCCAACAACAGCAGCTTCTTGCCCTCCATCACCGTCTGCATGTGAGCCGGCATATTTGCATGTATTTCGAGCTCCGCCTTCTCCAACTCCTTGGCCCAAACCTCCCACTGCTGCAAGGTTGCAAGTCTGTGTTTCATGACACCGACAGGCCCTTCTATCAGATTGAAAGCCATTGCTCTGAGGACGCAATCCGGCACCACACGGCAAGAATCAAATGGGTGGCAGATGGTCATGGCCTGTCGCACAAATACTTCCGGAGCTCGAAAAATTCCAAAGGTCACTGGCTGCTCAGGGCTGGTTCCCCCTTTCACGGATGTTCTGAGCAGCTTGGAACCTTGAGGAACATTCATAAATGTGGCAACCAAACATTGTTTGCTGTCCAGCTGTGGCAAAAGGGCTCCATCCACTGCAATCGTCTGTGTGTACGCATACTCACTGACCAGAGGACCCCATTTTGAGGTCTTAGGTTGTCTGCCTGTGGCAGCTCTTGCAGCCGCAGAGCCCGGCAGACGCAGCCCATGTACTGCAAGACCACGGTTTGCCGCAGCAAGTTTCAGTATGCCTGCAATGCGCTCACACAGAAGCCGAGGGTACGCGGCTTCCTTGGCGGTGGCAAACTCCCACTTGTCTGCATTTCTCGTCATACCCCATGGCGCATGCTCGTGGTCTGCTGTGCACACACTAGTCAGCGCGTCCATCTCTGCAATGTTGGTCATAAATCCAGTGTGTTTCTTCGCCACCGTGCATGCAAGAGTGAAATTGCACAAACATTGATTGTCTGCGAAGTTGAACAAAAATTGGCATCAGCCACATATAGCTGTTGGCCGGATTCTCAATAGCCCACGGGATATTCAAAGTGTTCAGCCACTGACAAAATTTTGCCATCTCATTGTAAATTGAATTCGCTGAGCTCACCTTGGCCTGGTTGAGGACGCTCAGACCTGGCAGTCCACATGGTTGTGACTCTGACCTGAGGGGAGGCGGTCCATGCTTCCCTTCATGGCTGGACAAAGGTATATTCCGGGCTCTGGACGCTGTTCCACACGGCGGGGCTCCAAAGAAAAAGAACAGGCGTCTCTGCATTGTGATCTTTCGCAAGCATTCCCAGCTGCTTGCAAGTCTCAGATCCATGTGAATAACATGCACATAAGTGCGGTGTCTGTTTGCATGAAAATCAATGGGCAACACCTGGAACCCATGCTTCCGCAGCACTGAAGACAAAATGGCAGAACCTGCACAAGCTTCAATCACAAAAAGCTGTTCCTCATGGCAGACTAGGGCGCTCGGCAATGGGTTATCTTCATGAGACCCATTGCGATCACCTGCTGTGTCAAGGTTTGATGAAACTGGACTCATCGTCCTTTGCCGCTTGCCCAATGCTTGACATGGTAAGCTGGCTGCAGGCACATATGTATTCATCGCAGAGTCATTTGTCTGCTCACATGCATCAGTCCTTTCATCGGACTTGTCCCAATGCTCTCTTTGAGAGACACTGGGAGTGGCCTCATGGCCACACCATTCCTCTTGAGGAGACACATCCTCCTCTGCACGTGGCTGCGCAGCCACACCCTCGCAGCCTAGTCATGAGTCAGCATGACCAGCAGGCTTCAGGGAACATGTCACTGCAGGGTGACTCTTTCCACATTTCGGAGCAGCACACACATGGTAGCCCCGGCTGCATCGATTGTTGCTCACCTTCTCACTGCACGACTTCAAATTGAAGTTGTAACAGATCGGCTCTCCCGAATTTGTGAAAGCCTTGCACCCAATGAGCTGCTGAGGCATCCGCACAAACTTTCCGCCAGACTTTCCTTTGGAGCGGCCCTTTGGGCCACTGCGGACATACGGGCCCTCTTTCGGCTTGGTGGCGGATGCCCCGGAGCTCTCAGATTTGCCATGCGACATCAAAGGCAAAGGGTTGAGCACGCACATGACCTGGGACGAGTACATGATTCGATCCATCAAGAGCTCAACTGGGCGTCCTTCTGGAGTGGATTGGATGCCATCTCTGGTGGCATCAGCAAGTTCCATGAACAACTTCTGATCTGCCATCATCAACTGCTTCATGCTAGGTCGCGCATATCCGAGAGGTGGTTCATCCATCCTGCTCTTCATGAGGCGCTGAGTCCAGAGCATCATCTTAGCATAACTGCATATGTTTGCCTGTTCCACCGCCAAGGCTCTCCGGGTCAACGCGTACATCAGCATCACCTCAGTGCTCGTGTCAGCTCGGTCGCAATCTCTTTTGGGCTCGACTTTCAGCCTGCCTGTAGAAGAATCTAAAGAAAACGACACATCCTTCTTTGGGTCGCCTTGCAACTCCTGTTCGCGGGATGTGCATCTGGACCAGTCTATCCACCTGAGACGATTCTCCTCATACATGCTGGTGGTGACATCCACCAGCGAGTCTGAAGGTTCATTTGCTCCAGTAATCGAGACGCCAGGAAGCCTATCGACCTGGGCTCGATACCGTTCCGTTCGTTCAGGTTGAGTCAAACGCCGAGAAGTTTGATCCTCAATCTTCTCCATCTGTTGTCTCATCTCACTTGTGGCAGCAGCATAGGCCTCGTGAAAAACTCGCCTGAAGCACGCTTTTTCAGCTACTGTACCCGGCCGTCCGATGAGGCTCTCAAATGCTTCCATGAGAGGGCCTTCATCTGCTGCACCAGGAGTGTATGCTGAGACAAATGCCAAGCGAGACAAATTGACAATCCCGCCTAGCTTGATGATATCAACCAGATCATCTTCCAAGCCTGCTGCTTTCAGCCTGCTCGTCAACACTGCCTCGCTTTCAAGTAAACCAGTCATGCTAGTCTCAAGGTTGCTCGGGCCGAGATAACACACTCGACACAACAATGAAAGTGACAATGCCGCCACGTCCATCAATCCTAGACCAACACCTCCATGAAAAACGCGCAAGTGACATCTCCGAAAAGAAAAACGGGGAAACCCCCACATTTAGTGGGACTGACCCTTCTTCTCAAACTCCGCACCTACATCCATCTCGCTACCGGACGCGCGCGCGCGCGCGGCGCGCGCGCGGCGCGCGGGCGTGCATACGAACCACCTTCATAGCAGGCACAGTTCGAAAGAAACCCAACATGCATGCGGCCACAACAGACATGTAAACGCAAAGACGCTAGTCTTTTCAACCTTCTGGCATCCGCCGTTTGAAACACTGTCTGCACAAAGGGTAAAGGCATTCTGGCATGTTTGGCAACTGGATGTATGCATCGCTGCCAAATCTGCCGCAGGCGAATCTGTCTCCAGCCTCATCCTCGACGCGATGAATAACTCTGGAAACAGAGTGGCGGAAGAGCATCTCCGAGCTGAAATCGTAATATCCCTCCAAAGGCAGTTCAAGTTCGCCTACCACTTCACCAACGGCCGCCTCCTCATGCTCATGATCAGGTCTCTCTTCGTCAACACTGTCTTCTGAGCTCGACACGTCCTGCTCGTCCTCAGCATGTTCGCCTTCATGAGCATGCTCTTCAGTAACGGCCTTGGCGAAATACCCAGACCTGCTAGCATCAGGTAGGAATGACTTGCAAGCAATTTTCCCAATGAGTTCTTCCAGCAATCTCAACGGCCCTGCTACATTGTCACGGCCATACACCAACTCAGCACCGTCCCGTCCTTTGCTGTGATAACCCAAAGTCGCACGCGTGACGCGGCCCATACCTGCTTTAGCTGCCCAGCTCAAAGTAGTGGCCTTGCAGCTATGGGTGCCATATTTGTTGACCTCGTCGGCGCCGGCACCACATCCTGTAAGAAGAGCACGCAACCACATGGCACCTGCTTCAGCTGACAGAGGGGTCTGCAACCATTTCTTGCACAGTCCCATCGCAGGCAGCAAAGGCTTGTCCGTGCCAAGAGGAAAAGAATTTTGTTTCATCATCTCATACCAAGTAACTGCCCAAGGCTCATCCGCAAGACCCTGAATAGGCGCCACCAATGGAAGATACCTGGTCTTCCTCTCAAGCCCATAAGAGGATTTTGATCGTGACACAGAAGCTTCAATGTAACCTGTGGTGGCACATTCAGTTGTGTGTACATCCAACTGAATGAGACCAGATGCTTGTCCATCGGAGAACCTTGCTCTCGCATAGATGCACCAGCAAAAGAAACCTGCAGCGTGACGGTCCTGTAGGCTAGCACCATGTTGGCCAAGCACAATCTCCTCAAGCATCAAAACATGTTTTGTCAACAATGGCGGCTTCTGTTTCAACTTCCTCTTCTCCATGAAAAACTTGCTTGTAATACCAGTGATCCGTGGCGAAATACATGAACCAGCACTGTCACAATCAAGCACATATTTGCAAAAAGCAAGCGAGCATACAAAACTGCGTCCGAATGTTGGTGCAGCATCCTTGCCATGTTGTTCCAAAAAGGCATAGACATGATGTTCCAGAAACGGCATGGCCTGCAAATCCTTCGCCTTGCAAAACTTCAAGAACCGCAAAATGGGCCCAGCCCTGCTATGCAAGGTTGAGCTTGCCTTCAAAGCAAAAACATTCAGAAGAGTTTCGGCAAAATCGCCTCCCCCACCCAAACGTTCTGAAGCAGCAAACATGCGAGCAACTCAGGGTTGTGTTCGATAATGCGTATCCACTTCACGACTGCTGCATTGCGTTCCTCAGATAGTTTTTGAATCCAAGGAATGTCATGCCTTGTTGTTACCTTATATCCTGCAGTCTGCAAGGCTGTTGTCAAGCCATCCTCCTCGAGTTCACGTTCCGCATGTTCTTCATTCGGTACAGCTGGAATCATACCACGAGGAGGTTCTCTCTGAGGAAGAGCTGCACCAGGCGAAAGAAAAGGTAACAATTCCCACGGTTGTCTCCTTGCAGACTTCGTGTTGCTACGCACACAAGCATTCATATGTAATGCCCAGCTCTGTTCCAGCTCTCTCTTGTTGCCACCAGATTTGAGCAAGGCACCATCAAACACAGTCTCAGAAACCATGGCGTTCCTGTCGTACTACAACACGGGTCACCAGCTGCTAAAAGCCCAGGTGCACCCTGAGGCCGCCAGCTGCCACAACGGCCCAAGCGCACCTCAATCCCCCTTCTTAAAAAGAAATGGGGACATGCTCTCAAAATTTGAGAGTTCCCACCCACCCACCTCGAGCCTTTCTATACTATACATTTCAAGTGTGGCGTTAGACACCGATTGGTGACGCAGAGGATGCGTCGTCAGGATTATCATCGTGACTGCTGGTGATGCTGAGGATGCGTCATGATGATTCTCCTCCGATTGGAGATGCAAAAGATGCGTGGACATGATTATCATGATGACTGCTGGTGATGCTGAGGATGCGTCATGATGATTATCATCCGAGTTGAAATGCAAAAGATGCGTGGACACGATTATCATGATGACTGTTGGACTGTTACATGATTATCATGATGACTGCTGGACAGTTATTATCACAGTCACCATCCTTATCACCATCGTCATCAATATCATCATCATCATCATGGTAGTCATCATCATCTCTTTCTATGAATACATTTCAAGCGTGGCGTTAGACAGCATTGGTGATGCAGAGGATGTGTGTAGTCATGATTATCATCATGACTGCTGGTGATGCTGAGGATGCGTCATGATGATTATCATCCGACTTGAGATGCAACAGATGCGTGGACATGATTGTCATGATGATTGCCAATTGCTGGTGATGCTGAGGATGTGGACATGATTATCATGATGCTTGCTGGTGATGCTGAGGATGCGTCATGATGATTATCATCCAATTTGAAATGCCAAAGATGCGTGGACATGATTATCATGATGGCTGCTGGAGAGTTATCATCACAGTCACCATCCTTGTCACCATCGTCATCAATATCATCATCATCATCATGGTAGTCATCAGCATCTCTTTCTATACTATACATTTCAAGTGTGGCGTAAACACCATTGGTGATGCAGAGGATGCGTCGTCATGATTGTCATCGTGACTGCTGGTGATGCTGAGGATGCGCCATGATGATTCTCCTCCGATTGGAGATGCAAAAGATGCGTGGACATGATTATCAGGATGACTGCTGGTGATGCTGAGGATGCATCATGATGATTATCATCCGATTTGAAATGCAAAAGATGCGTGGACACGATTATCATGATGACTGTTGGACTGTTACATGATTATCATGATGACTGCTGGACAGTTATCATCACAGTCATCATCCTTGTCACCATCGTCATCAATATCATCATCATCATCATTGTAGTCATCATCATCATCATCTCTTTCTATACTATACATTTCAACTGTGGCATTAGACAGCAGTGATGATGCGTAGGATGTGTGTAGTCATCATTATCATCATGACTGCTGGTGATGCTGAGGATGCGTCATGATGATTATCATCGACTTGAGATACAACAGATGCGTGGACATGATTATCATGATGACTATATCATCATCATCAGCGTAGTCATAAACCATCATCATCGTAGTCATCATCTATACTATATATTTCAAGTGTGGCGTTAGACACCGTTGGTGATGCAGAGGATGCGTCGTCATGATTATCATCATGACTGCTGGTGATGCTGAGGATGCGTCATGATGATTATCATCCGACTTGAGATGCAAAAGATGCATGGACATGATTATCATGATGATTGCCAATTGCTGGTGATGCTGAGGATGTGGACATGATTATCATCCAATTTGAGATGCCAAAGATGCGTGGGAATGATTATCATGATGACTGCTGGACAGTTATCATCACAGTCATCATCCTTGTTACCATCGTCATCAATATCATCATCATCATCGTAGTCATCAGCATCTCTTTCTATACTATACATTTCAAGTGTGGCGTTAGACACCATTGGTGACGCAGAGGATGCGTCGTCATGATTATCATCGTGACTGCTGGTGATGCTGAGGATGCGTCATGATGATTATCCTCCGGTTGGAGATGCAAAAGATGCGTGGACATGATGATCATGGTGACTGCTGGGGATGCTGAGGATGCGTCATGATGATTATCATCCGATTTGAAATGAAAAAGATGCGTGGACACGATTATCATGATGACTGTTGGACTGTTACATGATTAGCATGATGACTGCTGGACAGTTATCGTCACAGTCATCATCCTTGTCACCATCGTCATCAATATCATCATCATCATTGTAATCATCATCATCTCTTTCTATACTATACATTTCAAGTGTGGCGTTAGACAGCATTGGTGATGCAGAGGATGTGTGGACATGATTATCATCATGACTACTGGTGATGCTGAGGATGCATCATGATGATTATCATCCGACTTGAGATGCAACAGATGCGTGGACATGATTATCATGATGACTGCTGGACAGTTATATGATTTTCATTGTGGATGCGTCATAATGATTATCATCCGATTGGAGATGCAAAAGATGCGTGGACATGATTATCATGATGCCTCCTGGTGATGCTGTGGATGCGTCATGATGACTCTCATCCGATTCCCCATCAATATCGTCATCATCACCATCGTAGTCATCAGCATCTCTTTCTATACTCTGCATTTCAAGTGTGGCGTTAGACACCATTGGTGATGCAGAGGATGCGCAGTCATGATTATCATCATGACTGCTCGTGATGCTGAGGATGCGTCATGATGATTATCATCCGATTGGGGATGCAAAGATGCATGGACATGATTATTATGATGACTGCTGGTGATGCTGAGGATGCGTCATGATGATTATCATCCGATTTCACATGCAAAAGATGCGTGGACGTGATTATCATGATGACTGCTGGACAGTTACATGATTATCATGATGACTGCTGGACAGTTATCATCACAGTCATCATCCTTGTCACCATCGTCATCAATATCATCATCATCATCATCGTAGTCATCAGCATCTCTTTCTATACTATACATTTCAAGTGTGGCATAAACACCATTGGTGATGCGGAGGATGCATAGTCATGATTATCATCATGACTGCTGGTGATGCTGAGGATGCGTCATGATGATTCTCCTCCGATTGGAGATGCAAAAGATGCGTGGACATGATTATCATGATGACTGCTGGTGATGCTGAGGATGCGTCGTGATGATTATCAGCCGATTTGAAATGCAAAAGATGTGTGGACATGATTATCATGATGATTGCTGGACAGTTACATGATTATCATGATGACTGCTGGACAATTATCATCACAGTCATCATCCTTGTCACCCTCGTCATCAATATCATCATCATCATCATCATCATAGTCATCACAATCTCTTTCTATACTATACATTTCAAGTGTGGTGTTAGACAGCATTGGTGATGCTGAGGATGCGTCGTGATGATTATCATGCGACTTGAGATGCGGAAGATGCGTGGACATGATTATCATGCTGACGGCTGGTGATGCTGAGGATGCGTCATGATGATAATCATGCGAAAGATGCGTTAAACTGCCGCGAAGTTTCGCGGCAAAAAAAATGCCGCGAAAAATGTAGGCGGCATGATTGCCATACTGCAGGGAATGCAGCTTGTTCCCGAAAGGTCTTCTAAGGCTAGTGAATTAGGAGGTACACAAGCAAGGTTCGCGTCCACTCCGACGCCACTAATCGCTGCTGCACGGCCGGGTGGTTCCCATATCTCTGCTGGTAGGTTTGATTACACCAGTTTGCTTCAAAGCTTTCGGGAGAGAGACTCTCGAACAACTGCTGCACTTGCACATAGCCGACTTCACCCCCGTCTCCAGTTGCGTGCACACGTGCGCAGCAGGCGCAAATCAGTGCCCCGCAGTCTGCCTCGGCCCATGTTTGTTGC